TCGAGGCTGTGGTGGCCGGGAGCAGCCACTGCACTCCAGTCTGGGTGATAGAGTGAGACTCCAACTCAAAAAAAAAAAGAAATAATTAGTCGGGCCTGGTAGTGCACACCTGTAGTTCTAGCTACTTGGGAGGATGGCCTGTGCCCAGCAGGTCGAGGCTGTGGTAGCCATCAAAAAATTACCTGGGCGTGGTGGTGTGTGCCTATAGTTCCAGCTACTTGGAAGACTGTGGCAGAAGGATCGCCTGAGCTCAGTAGGTCAAGGCTTCGGTGGCTGAGAGCGTGTCACTGCTCTCTAGCCTGGGTGACAGAGTGAGACTCCAACTCAAAAAAAAAAAAAAAAATCAAGCAAAACAGCTGGAGTGCTATAGTTCAGGCCTGTAATCCCAGCACTCTGGGAGGCTAAGGCAGGAAGATTACTTAAGCCCAGGAATTCATGACCAACTAGGCAATCCAAGTAGACCTCATCACTACAAAAAAAAAATTAAAAATTAGCTGGGTGTGGTGGGGTGTGCATGTAGTCCCAGTTACACAAGAGGCTGAGGTAGGAGGATGGTATAACTGCAGGAGTTCCAGGCTACAATGAGCTATGAGCTCACCACCACTGCACTCCAGCCTGGGTGACAGAGCAAGACCCTATTTTTTTTTTTTTTTTTTTTGGAGTCCGAGTCTCACTCTGCTGCCCAGGCTGGAGAGCAGTAGTATGCTCTTAGCCATTGCAGCCTTGACCTACTGAGCTCAGGTGATCCTTCTGCCACAGCCTTCCAAGTAGCTGGAACTATAAGCACACACCACCTAATTTTTTGATTTATTTTAGAGACAGAGTCTCACTAAGTTGCCCCAGGCTGATTTCAAACCAATGGGAGCAGGCAGTCCTCTCACCTTGGCCTCCCAAAATGCTGGGATTATAAGCGTGAGCCACTGCCGCTGGCCTAGACCCTACCTCTTAAAAAATAAAATAAGAAGCCGGACTCGGTGGCTCAGCCTGTAATCCCGCGCCTTTGGGAGGCTGAGGTGAG